TTTTTAATTTATCCTCCCCTTTATGCCGCAGAATTCCTTCCATCTTTCAATCCGTGCTTCCACTACTACAACCTGCTGAAATCCAATTGGCCTTAACTCACTCCCCCTTCCTCCCCCACTCTTTCCCATTTACCTTCTGCTGCCGTAGGGTTCAATGGAGTTTTAAAGGCAGAAACCGATGCCAAGTATTTCAGATTGAAGCTGCTGACTGCTGATATTTTGTGCTGATATTCAATAGCTTTCAAATTGGCCAATTTCATGGCAAAAAAAGTCTATAATATTCTAAAGATTGGTCCGAGCCCGGCAGGTGATAGGTTCGGAGTTTGGGGGTCGCCATGCAATCTTGTCAATGTTTTTTTAACACTCTAGCAAGGTTGGGTTTTTTTCTCCAAGTCTGACACTTAGTAGCCTTAAAGAGCAGTTTAGCACCTGCTACAAACCTGGCTTTTGTGGACCTCTGTTAAATTCAATTCCAACTAAGGTGCAGTGTTGTAAAAGTGTACCCCAAGGTCTGTCGTTACACTACGGTCTCTCCATTGGCCGGGTCAAAGGGGCAACATACTTGAAACCTTCAAACGGGGATAACAGAGAAATAAACATTGAAAACCCATGGAATTTGTCATTTGTCGCTCGACCTTGTGTTAGATTGTCATCCCTGTTTAGGGTTAAGGACTTTAAAATCCAATTAAATAAATCCTTCCAGTGTAGAAATGATGTATTTCCACTGGCACTATCCCGACATATTGCAGGCTCTTAAGAAATTCTTCAAGAATGTATGTGTGAACATCACTGAACGAGGAGTTTTGGATTATTGTTCTGAACCTTTTTACAGAATAATAACGAATGGAGGGGATTCTTTTGGAAAAGGCGTCCATTTAGGCACGAATGACATGATATGCCTCTCTTTACTTTGATTGGTGGACAGATTTATAAGTCTCCCTCCACTCTGTGAGAAGCCTCCTTAAGGGCCTGCATGTTAGATGCTGAGTCGGTATCATATGGACACATATATGTATCCTATATGCGTTGAGTATGTCACATGACAGGTGACAGTGGGTGAGTGACGGTAAAGTATGTGGGTGTATTTAATGTATGTAATTAGACTCTCTCTGCCTGGGTTGAATAGTGTGGGAGTGTGGGGCACAAAGAGCCTTTACAAATTGTGTATTTTTATATTAGCCACCTTCCTCCTTTGCATTTACCTCAGAGAGATTTTATTCCATTTCTCATGTTTAAATGAAGGTTTGAGTAAACAGTAATAGATCAGTGGAGCATGCAGAAACCTCCATTTACCTTGTTTTTTCTCTAACGTATTCAGATGTAGCATGGCTAAACTGCGCTGGATGACAGCAATTTGTGATTTCTCTTTGTGAGTGTTTCAGCTGCATCGTGTGTGTCTGAGCTCAGTGTGTGCAAAGGTGGGCATATCAGTTTTGCACAATGAAGCGATTGGCAGAGGTCGGAGCTTCGCGATAATGGCTAAAAACCAATGTCAGCTTCTCATTCCTTTTGAACAGCAAAGACCCTTTTCAGAGAAGTGAGAAAGCAGACTGATTATCCTCCTTCAAACACCACCGCTTAGGCGAGGGCACTGTAATTTGCCACTGAGAGGCTGAAACATGAGGTGTCTTTGGAGCCATCGATTCCTGTTGGCCTAAGCCGAAAGGGAACAAGAGGGTGAAAACAAGCGGGGGGCCAAGCCATTGCTGTGGATGAAACACCGACATCTGGTGCGTTTAAGGGCTCCGGCTTCCCTCAGTTAGATGTTGTAATGCTTGTTGTGCATGGATGTGTGCACTGCCTGCGAGCGTAGCTGCTCGTTCATGCATGCATGTACGCCAAACAGTGCCTCGCTTTATCCTGTAATAACCCGATACAAGGCATGGGAGTGGAGAATGGCCTCTCAACCCGGGAAGTATGTGAAAGATGGGGGTGGGTGGGAGGAGGCTGGGGCTAACGTGGCTTCATTCCTCCAAGCTGCTGCTGATCAAACGGGTGTGATGGCTTTGGCAGAGGGAAAAAACTGAAGGCACCACTGGAAAGACATTAACTCAAGCGGGGAAAAGAACCTTAAAGGAGCAGAGTGGCAATCTCCACTGCTTGGCTCATTTCTCTCAGCACAGATCCATTTTTTTCAATGTCCCAGACCATTTCCCACCGGGGATGCTTAGCTCGTGTGATCTCTCTGCATGTTTGGATACGTGTGTGATCAAGACCCCCCACCCCCTTAAGTCAGCCTAATTTCTATAATTGAAAACAGTCATCTGATGTGCAGTTCAAATGTTGGGCAGACAGCGGCAGCACTAAGATGTTACCCAGTGATGCATGAATTAGCACCGTAGCTAATTCAGCCCAAGTGGAACTCTGAGGCATTGCCACTTCAAATGTATTATTAATATGCTTAAATATAGATGATTGCAAGGAAAAGGTTTGTATTTGGCTTGAAAAGTAGTTCCAAAATGAGCCTGGAGTTATTTTTATAGGTTAAATTAAAGTGCAAATTCTCACAACTTGAGGGAACTTTATATATATGGAGCGAATACAAAAATACATGGTGGTCTAGCTAGAAGCTGACATTTTGAAGTTGTTTTTTGCAGGTGCAGTTTTTTATCAGACCGCAGCAAAAAATATCTCAAGTTGAAACAAAAAGTATTTCTTTCTCTGCCAGGCTCAATGATTTCAACTTATCCTGCGACTTGCTCACAGTTATCAAAGCCTCCGCCTGATAAAAGTGCCACATGTATTTTTCAACTAAACCCAGAGACATCATATTTGTTTCCACGTGTTATTGCTGCAGTTTGACGGAGTAATCTGCAGTGGATTAGCTGATATGGAGGCAGCGACACTGTGTCTGAGTGTTTGGGCAAGGGGCTTCTGGGTGGAGGGTTCAATTCCCCTCCTGGGCACACCCACCTGTCCATAAACACTTCTTCTAAAACTGCAGCCGAGGTGGGAAAAATTCACTTTTATTCCCCTTTAATGTTTTTTATTGAATCATCCCACTTTGAAGGTTCGTATTAATCTATTAGAAAGCAGGTCAGTAATACAAAACTCAATATTTACTCTGCAGTTCTCTTGGATTTCTTTAATGACTGTCGTTCCCTTTGATTGTCTACAACTTCATTTACTCATTCATTGAATATAATGCTTTTATCATGCTGTACTGCCAATATTTCACAATGATTTAAATGGAAACCCCTCAGTATTTCTACTGGAGTTGCACCGTTCTGATACTAGCTTGTCGAGTTGAGAGTCAGGCAGTGTTTGCATGGTGCAGAGTTTGTGTTGATTTATCCGAAACACTCATAAATCATAGAACTCATTCAATAATAGCGCAAACATAAAACAGCATGTCTTGAAAAATAAGAATAAATTGCTCGCAGATGATTCCGCTGAGCGGGAACCTGCAAGAAAAATCTAACAATAAGAGAACACCACAAATATTCATCGTCACCACGGGTTGTATGTTTATTGGAGGCTCTTGAACAAAATTGAGCTTCTGGGTCCCCTACATATGTACACGATAAAAGCTTATTTTTGCTTTGAGGTATTTCATACAAAGAACATTTATTCCGTATCAAGCTATGTAAAAACCCCAAATCATGAAGTTTTCAAACTAGATTTCAACCCATGTGTAATACTCAAGGTTTTGGCCAAATATTAGGAAATAAAGAACCTTAAGGGCCCTGTGGTGACTTCATACTGCGCTGTACAACAAAAACATTTTCAATGGAATTAGCCAAAACAATCAAACCAACTGTAAACCCAAAGCTTCGGGGGACTGTTGGACTTCCTTTGGGCAGTTTGTTGGTAATCCGTCTTTGGTTATTGTTGGCATGAGTAAAACATGCTTTTTATGCGAGTATGATAAATTGTTTTCTATTTGATTTTGTAGATTTATATGAGCGGATTTACTTAAAAACCCACTTTTCTGTCAGAGGAACAGAACAGCCGAAAGTAAACATTTATTTTAACGGTAATGTCTCACCAATAAAACACTCCGCAATTAAACATAATTACATGTGCAATATATTTTTAAATGGTAATGATCCAATGATGCTAGTGTCTGGTAACACAACAGGAAACAGCCCAAAGAGGTTTGGAACTGAGTTTATAAAGTAACCATTACAGACAGATTACACATGAATCACCATCTGGGGGATTTGTAAACCATAAATCCAAGGCTATTTGAAAAATGGCCAAGCCTTTGTATATATACAATGTGTGTGTGTGTGTGTGTGTGTGTGTGTGTGTGTGTGTGTGTGTGTGTGTGTGTGTGAGTGAGTGAGTGCACGGCCTCTGGGCACATTGTGATGCCGTTTTGGACGGCTGCCCTCATTCTGATGTCCCTATCGACTCCCTGGCCTACATGGCCAAGTACAGGCGTGTTTTCCACTGCAGGTCGATACAGACGCAGTGCTGAGGGGACAGCCCGAGGCTTACACACACACACACACACACACACACGCACACACACACACACACACACACACACGCACACACGCACGCACGCACGCACGCACGCACACACACACACACACACACACACACACACACATGCTCTCACTTAAACACTTAAAAGCATGGGAACACAATAGTGTGCACAAGGTACAAGCAGAAACACCAGTGGCGAAGACGTGGGATTAATCTGGNCGTGCGATATTAAGTAGGCAAATTAACTCAAACACGTCATGTTACAATTATTTTGCTGCTTGCTACAAAAGGAAAACTTGCGCGGCTCTAATGTCAGGACAAAAGTCCTGACATTAGAGCCGCGCAAGTTTTCCTTTTGTAGCAAGCAGCAAAATAATTGTAACATGACGTGTTTGAGTTAATTTGCCTACTTAATATCGCACGTCCTAAAAAAAAGGAAAAAAAAGAAATCGAACGTCCTGCGATGTCAATATCGCGCATAACGCAATTATCGTCATGGCACGATATATCGTGCAGCCCTATAACACATACAATCTGGTGGAGACTTGTGCACTGTGGCGTGTTACCATGTCGATAATTTGTGACAGTGTGATCTGCAGGGTCACATTCAGTATGGTGTTAGTGTCATTCACAGGCCTCAGCGCACTAGTGTAGTTCGTGAATAAATCATTCAGGAGCTTCTGGGCGTATTTTCCCTGAGCACACCAACAGGCTAAAACAAAAAGAGAAACAATTGATGGTTAAATGTATATCGCCACAAAGCACCTGTTGTATTTAATATTATTTTTCAGGTAAAAATGTGTTCTCTAACACAACATTCGGATGTGATAATTTTTTCATCATTCAATTTTCTGGCCAGTGATAATCTGAATAAATGAAACGATATGGATGCCGAGGAGGGTACATGTGGAGAGAAAATGTGAATCCATGACAGATGGTGAAGGGGACAAAGAGTGATGTCAAGCTAGATCGCCCTCTCTATTAAGCTCTACAGCTCTACAGAGAGATCAGGCAAATCTGCCATTAAGCAGCAGTAAGTTGTTGTCAGTTCGAATTGTGTATATTTTGCATGTATTGATTGAACTGTAATATCTTAAACAACATATGAGTATCAAAATGAGCCTCAACAGGGAGATAAATCAAGAGAAGCATGGTATAAACCATCTTTTTAAATATATTTGTACATGTCTTATAAGAAGGCTTTCATGCCTTTTACATTAATAATTCCAAGTCAATTTTGGAATAAGATGTTTAGTTTTCAATGAAAAAACGTGTTTACTGTATATTGTGACTGGAGCTTGTTTAGAGTGTCAACAATAGATTTGGGCAGGCCAGTTGTTAACCCTGGAACGCTGTTTTGATAAAGCCTCTGAACTGGATACAAGGAAAGAAAAGGATTATGATTACAGCAAATCCCTGAACTACTGGCATCATGTTTGCAGAGTCTGGGCAACAGATTGTATGAAAGAGGAATGGAAATCAGAGAGGGAATATTTGATTCATAAAATATCAAAACACTGACATTAATAAAAGAGAAAAAAGCATCCAAAACTAATCAAAGTTGTTACTCAATTATGTATCTGCTCATGTTCTAGCATCTCATCGCCATTTTTGATAGAAGAGCGTTGGAGGTTTTCTCTAGAATGTACTTGACTCGAGAATGCAACAATCTTATAATACTGTTAAAAATCCTAATAGAATGAATTAGTGGGAACTTACTTGGTAAAATACTGACACACAGAAGCAAGCAGAATAACGTTTGGATTCTCCATCGTTCCATATTGCTGAAACAAACTATCCTGATCCAAAGACCGTTTGAGCAGATGTGTGCCTTTCAGAGTTTCTTCAATAAAAATAATCCAAACAGAAATGAAATCAGACTGATAGCGACTGCAGCTGTTTGTGAACTGCACTCCACCAAGTGCTGCTGAGAGACAGTAGGAGAGAGGCGGGGCAGCAGCACCACATGTTAACCACAAACACCAGGACCATCGGACTCACAAACAACTCTTCACACACACGATCTGAAGCCTATGTCTCTGATATTAAAAAATGCATTAAAAAATACCCTTTGCTCTGCAGCACAACATAGAGCTCTCAGCCTCGCCACCTAATAACGGTCTTGCACTATTATTGTTGTATGTAGGACAATTAGTCATAAGAGACACAATGAATGTATACATTACTGTATTTAAAACGTGGTCTCTGGTCTGTGTTGTGTGCATTATTTTTTGATAGGCTGCGCCGCACATACGTAGCCTCATCACTCTCCTCCGCTTGCTTTCTCTTCCGGGTGCGGATGTTTTTCACGCCCCTTTTTTTCCCTTTCAACAAGGAGGATGTTGCATCCGAGTGACTATTATCGTCTTCTTGGGCAATGGAAATTAATCTTAATAGATGCAAAAAATGTCTCCGGGGTTTTACATGTCAGGATCATCCCCAACTCTGATTAAGGAATTGCACCCTATTGTTGGTACCGAAAATGTCCATCATGCAACCTGATATCATGAATGTGATGATTTGGTAATAGCGTAGTTATTTACACGGTAATTGCTTGCAGTTATTGGTGAATAGCAGATCTGGTGGAGGTAGGTTGATTATGTTTTTTTTCCGACTGAGATGGTCATTAAATGCATGCCGGATTAAAAAAATGCCCCCAAATAATTGATTGATAATTCCTATAACTGTGCATACATTTTTACTTATCATCATAAATACCTAAAATGTATCTATTGAATTAATATTTGAAGAAAGTTATTATTGCCACATGTACATTAATTAATTACAATTTTTCACAGTTTCAGAAATGCTACAAGGATCCGGTATCTTGGGTCATGACAGGCCCCTGGTCATCAGGGTTTCATTCAGCACCTGCGTTGTTGGCACTGTGGGCCTACCGCTGCTTGGGCTAATAACTTGTGTTTTCATATCCTCTGTTTTTCATTATGAGGACTCTACTGGTACACATTGCCAGGTAATATTCATATTTTGCAATCTGAGCCAACCATGTTTTCATTTGATGCTACTGATATACTAAAGCATTTTTGTCTGTTTCCAGGTTCCTAATTACCTGCCATCCATCAGTGCCTCAATAAGCCTGAATCCTGAATGTCACATATGGCGGTTCTGTATTGGACTGCACTCAGCACCGAGGCTGCTGGTGGCATTTACCTACTTCAAATTCTACAAGACACGTTTTGCCTCTAAGTTCCCTGAGAGTTTGCTCAGTTGCCTCAATCTGGCCTTTTCCCTTCTCGAAAATCTCGGCCTCTTGCTCCTCACATACGTGTCATCTAGTGAAACATACTGTGAGTACTATATTATTTGAGAGGTTTAATACAAACATATGTTTCCCTTGAAGCATGGATCATAATGAAGCTTGAATTTAGTCAAGTAACCAAAAGTTTTGACTTGATTTTAGATATATTTAAATGTTCTGAAATGTTGTTCCTTTTTGAAACAAAGTATTCTAAACTTTTCATCATCTTATCAGCAACATTAGTAAACTTTCCAGGCATACATTAAATGTAGTTTTAAAAAAGGAAGGTGAAAATGAACATAAGAGGAAGGGAACACATTTTAAAAGTTGTTTAAAGTACGTTATAGAGTTTTTGTCCGGCTGGTTGATGCTCTTTTTATTTATTACAATGACTGTGCTTTTCTGATTGAACTTCTTCTTCTCTTTGTACATTTTGTTTCTTAGTTGTACATAAAGAAGGTTTTGTCCTCTTCCTTGTCAGTTCCACTATCCACATGTTGATAACCTGCCGTTTATGGAAGACCATTAAGAAGTATTCATTAAGTCCTGAGGTAAGGAATGAAAAATCACGCACCACAGACTAAAATCAGTCATGTCATTTGAGGCATTCCAATCAAATACATGTTTTTCTCCCTTATAGGATGCAAAGTCTCACTATTGGAAAGTGCGCTTCTTACTTCTCAACTTATCCTTCTGTGCTTTTGCCGGATTCTTTTTTTGGAAACACAACGTGTTCTGCGAATCAGGGAGTAAGTAATACTTCAGTTTGATAATGTCCATCTAATTGGGGAGGGTTGATAACAGTGATCCATGGAGAATACACACAATTCCAAAACATATCAGTTATATGAACAGTAATTTGAAATGAAGCGAAAAAGTGCTTACTTAAAAACATTTCTATATCTACGTTCTTTTTGTTTTCCTTTTCTTTTTTACAGGTTACACATTATTCGCCCTGTTTGAGTATCTAGTGGTCTTCTCCAATATGGCCTTCCATCTCACAGCAGTTTGGGACTTTAAGAGCCGGGAGGTCATGGTCATATCATCCTCAGAAGATAAAGAATTCTGAATAAACTCAAGGACTGAGTGCAACCACACATCCACCTGATGTGAACAGCCTTAATCCTGCCCCAGGGGAAGAGTGGGATGAAGGCCTTTTCCATATATTTCCATTATGTACTTTTGTCAATTGAGTGAACTATAAGTGAATTTTCTGCCTCAGTGTCTCATCATTCGATGCCTTGACTCACATGCAATGACAAATACAGTACACTATTCCATGTTATGTGACATTTGAATATTTGTACACTGCAAATACAAAGTCGTCATACTGTACATTTGTTGAAATTAAGTGACAGTCCTTCAATTACGTTTGGCCTTCTATTTGAAATACAAAAAAGGGGTAAATATATATTAATTATTAAGTAAAGAGTGACATGGTGGAAAGCAAAGTCTCCTTGTGGTCTTTCCTTTAAGTCTCAAATAGGGTCAACACACAAAAACAATGGTTTCTGACACTATTTCACACCATACACCAAAAAAATCGAGTGCCACTTCAGGTACAGTTGTAAAATATCTGCACTTGCAACAACAATATAATTGTTAGCACTTGAACTTTATGCAACATTTCACGAGTGTGACATTTTCTGTACTACATGTGACCTTCATGGCCTGTTGTAAATCTGCGCAATATATTATGATCACACATCAGTTACCTAACTGACACCCAAAAGTTCATGCAGCTGGATAGACCCAGCAGCAAGCACACATTTCTGCAATTTTTTTTAGATATTTCTAAAAGCGCCTTAGATATACTTGTGTTATTTTATGTAACACTTTGCCATGTAAGAAATTCGAGGTAAGTGTAATTTAAATATGTGGTTTGGTTATAAGGGAATGGTATACACCATAGCAACATTTGAATGCTCAGAAGCCTCTTGCCATCCTCCTCCCTAAACTCAGAACCTGATGATGCAAGTACTGGCCAAGCACTAAAAAGACATTTCATTGTGTTTGCAATATGTTGATCATAATATTTACTGTACAGCAAAACCTGGAAAACTGTAATGTTACTTTCTTAAGGTTCCAACCCATATTGTACATCATGTATGTAGGCTGTTTTTCCAAATAAAAGGTGCATACAAATGTAAAGGCTAAGATGGCCGGCATAGTTCCATTATTAATAGCAATAGTTTTCTGATATCAATATATAACAATATTTAAAATATGCAAATAATGAAGCAATCACATGTAAAGCATACGATTAAAATCAATGTCATTGCCTTTAGACAAAGACTCTTCAAATCATTCTATCAAAACCTTCAATAACTAAGTTTTTTTTTTTTGTAATGTATTTATCAAAGCAGTTCAATTTATAAAATAATATGAACACAGAAACAACACAGCAAAACCTTTGATTCAATTTAAAAATCAGGTGTTACCAATAACATTAGCGATGGTTATGTTTTATTCAAGGGTCCAAGTAAGCGATAGGAGTGCTGTCACACTGTTGTCATCCAACTTCTGACATGTTCAAATGTCTTCTGTGAACTAGCTATTAATTCACAGTCCTAATGACAGGTATACATGCTACATACTGTAGAAGGAAGGTTGACAATTTGAGTGTAAACATGTTCTTTAACATATCATTGTAGGCCAGGGGTGTTGGCTCAAACAATCCACGAGATGGCACACTTTAGCAATTTGTGTCAATTCGACGTGATATCCAGTAGGTTTACACCCTCCAGTCGTTAGGGGGCGACACTTGCTGTTAATAACCACGCACCCTGTGGCGTAGAATAAGAGTAGCCCGCTGCCTTGACACATTCTGCGGCTTTTTCGGTCCAGTACGGTCGGGGGAAAGACCAGACCGAGATCTCTCCTACGTTTGGAGTTCGCAGTGCTTCAACTAAGGGTGACCAGGCGTCTGCTGCGATGTTAACACAGAGCTGAAGCTACAGATCTGCTGGCTCTGATACATGACAGGTAACTTTGTGTTTATGTTATTCAGCATTACGGTGTGTCCGTAGTTATCATATAGCCTAGCTAAAACTAACATTACAGATGCTCTCTATTAACGACCCTGTTCTGACTTGTGTCTGCTCGTTAGCTTAACGCCGACGGCGGCTAATGTTCGTCCGTTGAAAATGCAGAGTCGACACCTACCAGAAGTGAAAAACACGGAAGCGTTTTGAGAGGGCTGTGAAGTGCTGCTCCTTCTTTGTTGGATATTACACATGTCCTACTTAACCGAGATGTTAAGCTAGCTAGTTATGGAATGCCATTTGACTCATAGTAAAAAAAAATGCCTATGACATAAATTATTATGGCTTCACATGAACAAATGGTTGTATTTAATGAAGAACACAAATTTTAGCAAGTATTATTGAACAATGACATGTATTTAACATTATGTCACTGGACTTTAATTGCATAATGCCACATTTATTTATGTTCTGGGACCTTTATTTTATATTTCCCCTCTTTTTTTTTTTTAAAGGGACTTTTATTGCACAATGCCGTATTAATTAGATTCAGTTCACATTTGTTTTCTAATTACACATGTATTTATTTCAGGGGACTTCATTTCAGAATTCCAAATGTATTTCGTTTTGTACAATCCCACATTTCGTTTTTTTCAGGGATCTTGTGTTTCATAATAACACAGGTAGGTAACTTCATTTTAGAACTACACTTTTAATGTGTTTATTACAAGAGACTTGTATTTGATGTCAAATTGAATTATGTAAGGGGCACTTTTATTTCAGTGTAATATTAACTTAGTTATTTATTTTAGGGGACCTTTTTATTTGTTATCATTCCACATTTATTGACATAGCAACCTGACAGGCAGGGTGCTATGTTGGGATTAGTTGCTGCTTCTTTAGTTTAGCCAAGTTGCTGTCCAACCCTATGACTTAGACATGCTTGTTTGTTCAAGTGTTCCTGTACGCCTAAGGTAGAATACGAGATCTAGATTTCTCTCAATCGTACGCTGCCAAAAACCAGTCACGCTCAGAACCTGCTGGGATGTGGCTGGAGATCTCAATGCCCAAAAACCAAACCAACATCAAAGAACGGGTGGTTTAAGAAGTCAAATTGCATATATGTTTTGCTTCTTTATGTCAAAAAAATACAAAGTAACGTTTACCTTTCACTTCACTCTCGCTTACCACTACGCTTTATTTCAGAGGGCCATGCCTAGTGAAAATATCCAAGTCTTGGAATAATCAGATGAGAGGAAGTAAACAAATATAAGCGAGTATTTGTATGCCCTCTTGACTTTTCCTTGTTTTCATCCCTTCTGTTTCTCTTGTGCTCTCAATTGCTTATCAGAGTAATTTTCATTAAATCGCAAAAACTAAGGCGCCAGGCTCTTACCAACAGCCCGGCTGACAGTTGACTTGATGTGTCAGGGCCAGTCTTGTAGACAAGATGCTATGATATTCCTGTTGGGGGATGGTTTTTATCTAAAGTTACAGTTTGGAACATGTAACTCGTAATGAAAGTCAAGTAACATTTGTTATGCTTCTGATGCTTGTCTTCGGTGCCACTGGGTCCGTTTTCGGGAAGTCTGTCTGTAGGGACCAGCAGAACAGGGAGGACTGTCCCCGCAGTTGTGTCTACAAAGCCAGTTTCTTTAGAGAGAGATCCCTGCTGTAACCTACGGGAACAAGACTCGAGCTGCGGTTTCGGACTTGCTCTGCTCCCTGCAAGTCTGGTTCATAACAGATGGCAACCGAGCTTTGGCATGGAGTTGATACGCTCCTTTGATTGGTTGTTGTGCTGTGGGACAACTGATGACTTGACAACAAATTACCAAACAACCATTGATCTGAGTATGTGGATAACTGGGAAATAAATGTGGAAATATAAAATAAAGGTTCACTGAAATAATTAAATGTGGCATCAGGCTTTTCTTTAGGCTTGTTTATTTATAATTGAGCATTTCATTGCTTGTTGAAGCTTGTCAGACATCTGCACACCGGACGCATACAGACCAGGCTGCAGTTCTGATAATCTTATTATTATTCTCCCTGAGGCAACATGTGTTTTAAAACATGATGCTAAGAATCCTGAAGCACAGCTAAACCGTCAAAATAGGGCTTAACAAGCTGACTTAGCAAAAGCCAGGTATTAGATAACTTACAAACGACTGTGTACCTTAATTTATTTAGCAAGAATAGGAAACCGAGACACTGAGAAGTGATGGCATGTTTCCGCTTTTGCTGCAGGGGATATTTTTGTAATGTTAACTAACAATATTTCACGGTGTGCTCTAAACAAGCCAACTTAATGCGTTTTTCTCTCCTTTTCATATGTTCTAAGAGACAAAGCAGTTTCTGTTCTAGGCAATGTTTAATTGATGTACTTGGATAGAAACCCTGCAAAATTGTGTTGCAAGAATGATCTGAATTATGAATGGACTCTGTTGTCTACTTTCCAGCACACACCAGTCATGGAGTTCAACAAATTGAAGACATTGTGGATATTTTGCTTGTGTCTCGTTGGAAAAAGTTGGACTGAAAGATCTACATCAGACAATCATATTGTTGAAAATGGCGTGTCGGGTAAGTAATCAATCATGGTATTCATTTGTTGTAGCTTTTAATTTGTCTATTTTTCCACCTGTTGATGACACACAATCGGGTGTATAAGTGTTAATGCCACGTCTTTGTGATTATGCAGTCCCTAAAAGTAGACATGTTGAGAATAGTCTGGCATTATTAGCCTAACTGGTCTAATGGTTAGTTTTCTAATGGCATTTGAGCAGGGTTTTAGGTTGTTTCAGAATCAGATGGTAATAATCCATTATTATTTCCAATACATTACAATCAAAATATTGTTTGTGCCACCCTTAAACTTACGAATTTCCTATGCTTGTATTGCAACTTAGTTTTCAACATCAAAAATGACCTCCCGGTATTTAGGTGTAGAGTATGTTATGGACAAGGATTCCTTTTACAGTGTGTTAGCTGACATGGATATATGTAAGAGATTAGTGTAATCCTCTCACAGCATCCTCCCACAGTGAAATACTGCATTACATTATAAAGCATTCATTTTTTTATATAATAAATTGATCAACATATTTGGTGAATTTAACAACCTCCTCTCGTAAAAGAAAAATGATCCATGGTCTCCTATCACTGACAATCTCTTGCCTCAAACCATGAAGTGATTCTAAATCAATGGTCACAGTGATTTCATCTGTCGATCCATATCTTGAGTCTGAGTCTGCTAGAAATAAGTATTAGCCGGTAAAGACACACCATGACTCAGGGTTTTTGGAAATGTGCTAGTGTAATTATCATTGTCTACTCCCAAAAGGCATGACAGTTGTTCAGGATTTTGTTTTTTCCCCACTAATTTTAAGCAGGAGTGAGGCAAAGATCCACACATACAAACCTAGCTCTGTTAAGATATTATATTAGTACTTCTAAACAATTAAACAGCAACTATTGAGACATTGTTAAAGTTACATTGTTCTTACTTATGTGTGTCATATGTCCCATGAGGCCCCTCTGAGGATAAACTGTATTATTGACTGATTTTCAAAGCATGACAGTGTTTCTGAATGGCGTAGAGCCTATTACCTGCGGTACTTTTGAAGTAGCAAAGTTCGGAGTGTGTTATTCCGGCACATGCAGACACACAGAATGAGTTGCGTAACTTGAGCTCTTAAAAAAGGCCGGCTGGCTGGTATGTAAATATCTTATCTTGCGTCTCCAGAGGTTTGCAAGCCAAATGAGAAAGAAGGCCACGTTGGGTGTATGAGAGTGTTGCAGGTGGTAGGTTTTCACTAAGCTAACTGTCGCTCTTTGTTTAACATGGTGAGTGTGAATGAGGGAGAATGCAGAAGAGTAATTGCCTTTTTGGTATGTGGCTTTGCAGGTTCTCTCAAACTGAATGCTTGCTTACTTTGGCTCAAAGATTAACCTTTTGCTACGCTGAGGTGCAGTATGTGCGATTGTGCGTCAAGCCGTCCTTGTTCATCTAGCAGAAATAAGTCTCTATTTGCCAATCAAAGACCGTTAAATAGACGCTTTTATGGACACTGTACCGTTGCAGGGATTAATCTGACAATGTTTAGCCTACTTTCTGTTTTGTCTCTAACTGCAGAGCCAGCCTGTCATAACAGATGGTTCTGGGAATTAAAAAAACATGGGTGGGTATGGGTAATGATAAGGGGATTCTTGGGAGGGGGGCATTACGCTGTAAATGCCAGCCTGATGCAAACCAAACGCCTGCATTGGATACGCTATTGTGTTGGTGACATTAATGAATGATAAAGCAGTATCAATTGATATATGGACTTGAGCTCGGCCATGTATAAAAGGGGAAGTGAGTTTGATTATGCAAACTGTTACACCCTATTGTTGTGAGAATGACGATTCTATAAATGACTTTTATCCAAGTATTTATCCAAAGTATGCCCCTACCCTGCAAACCAGAATAAACTACAAGAATCAAGCATTTTATTCATAGGACTGAAATGATATTATTAAAAAAGTTCAGTTTTAAATGGTTTATAGAGGTACATTGTTGTTGGTACAAAACCAAGCCCAGGAAATGCAAGTCACTTATTCATGTTGGTGAACAAGGCAGCTTCCCCCTTAACCCTCATGGCCTCTTCCTCTTTTTGTGGTTGTAATGCAATGAAATACTAAATAAAACATACTGTTTGGACATATGCTTCTCCCTTAACTTAATTTAACCAGGAAAAGACCTTTCTGAGGTTGGTTATCACAAATTAACTGGAGTGTCCAGGATCAGATAGCAGCAGAAGCAGCACATAGAGGTTATATAAGACCGTCTCAAGTTGAATTCCATAATATATATATATATATATATATATATACATATACATGTCTGAAGGTTTCAGGGGNCGTCGAAGGGTGATTTATATGGTCGAAAACTGTTGTTATAGGTGTTATATGGCTAGTGGGGACTTGAAAGAGGTGAAATTCAAATGTACTTATTATTTATTGTAGACGAAGAGACGTTCCGACGCGACTTTGTGTACTGTGCAGGACGACGGGAACGACGTCCCAAGTGGTTAATTGATTACACAATGTCGATTCGCGTGAGCCACCGTGGTCTACGTATTATAAGGATAGGTAGGGCGCGACTGAAAAAGGAAATATACGACTCGATGGTCTTCGCAACCCGACCGAGCTCGGTTCGGTGTAGGTAGACGACGTCAAATCGTCCCTTTAATCCGTTGAGTTACATCGTATAAACAAATCATTAACCTTATATACACTTCACCCATGCACCTTGTGTTTGTGTGTGCGATCTTATATACACACACACACACACACACACACACACACACACACACACTGACTCTGACGCACAAAATAGGAGCCAAACTCTTAAGCCACATCTAAAGGCCTAATGGGAAATCTCTCCCCTAATTAAGACGCATGAATAATTCAAGTAGTGGCATGCTAATTAGTATTCCATCAGTCCTCTGTGGCGATGACGGCCTGTCGAGGCACATCGCAGCTAGTTACGGCGCGTACGCTACGAGGATGGCTGAACTGAAGGAATGTCGACACCTTGAGAGCTGCTTGACAGAGTATCCTATCATTACTGTAGAAAGCATGACAAGTTTCCTATTTTTCCTCCGTCTCTATAATCAACAACAACATGAACCCTTTGCCTGGGGAGAATCTGGAGAATAAAATACAATTTTGGGATGAAAATGAGCGTCAGGAGAGTGACTTCTCATTCTCAAATATCTAACTTCAACCAGAGAAAAAAAAGCAGTTTTACATTTATTTGTCTCAGCCTGTTTCATTTCGAGTCACACTGGGTGATGTGATACTTCCATATGCACATTGTGCTGCTTTTAAATGCATGATTTAGCAGTGTTATGGCCCCGCAGTTATTGCCTCTCTCTCAGAGGGGCTGTTTAATGCTAGTAAAAGCAATAAAGTGGAGTTAAGATGGAAATTAAGTCTGGATAAATCACTGAGGTTAACTCTGCTCTGGCTCACAATTACAGTTTGCCTTCAATGAAATTACTTTATTTACAACATTATTAACCCTGCATGGAAATGTGTGAAAGGAATACTTCGCCCTCAAAATGACTGTTTATATATCAATTACTCACCCCGTTACCTTGAATTGTTGACGAAAAATGAGTTCCTATAAAACAATGATGAGCCGTATTAAATCAAAACACCTGTTGACAAATTGTCAGACAACTCATGCATTATAATCTTAGTCTGCATTTTACAAACATATGCTTCCCAAAAATCTATATATTTGCTAACTCCTTATAATTTGAAACACTGACCAATCAAGACTTTGATTGACTTTTAGATTCTCATAAAAACCAAGGTAACACAGGGTGAGTAAGTTGTTTACATGTTACTTATTAGTCGCAGGAGCGATTTGGGGGGAAGTGTCTCAGGGACACGACGACATGCTGACTGCAGTGGGGTTTGAACCTGTGACCCCCTGATCCCAACACCAGGGCTATCCACTGCGCCACACGCCTCCCTATTTCCAAATGTTTTTGAGGACGAATGATTCCTATTATAATATAACAATAATGAAATATGAATGTTAATAGAGCTTTTCTTAATACTAAAAGACGTATGTTCACACAAACAAAAGATGCATGTGTGCACGTTTAATGTAGCTGCAAGTAACCTCACACAAAATCACCATCTCGAGTATGATTAAAGCTTGTTATTGTTTAAAAACACTAATGATGATTCAAAATAAATCAAAAACATAGGCAGTAGCTTTAGTGAAGGCCCGTGGCTGTGTCACAATATTGAGTTGCCACAAGGCAAACACACACACACACACACACACACACACACACACACACAGAAAGAAGAAAGGGCTCCTGTGGGCCCTTGCCTGTGTGAGTGTGTGAGTGTGTGTAGCCCCGGGGAGGCAGGCAGAGGTTTTGTGGCGTCTTTGTGCTGGGTTTAACCTTGGCTCTGGGCTAAACACACAGGGAATGTTCTGAGAGGACCTTCAGCCATCAGCAGCAGCTTTTCATATACTGCTCCTCTCCTGTGGGAGCACCGCCACAAACACAACTATTGATCCACTGTCATACTCTCACACACTCCGCCCCTCGGCTGTCTCTTTTCTCTAAGCTGTGTGTGTGTGTGTGTGTGTGTGTGTGTGTGTGTGTGTGTGTGTGTGTGTGTGTGTGTGTCAGGCTAAAAAAATATACTCTCCAAAGTGGTCACAGATCCCATGATGTGGTATTGGGGATATTGATGTTCTGTGTATCCTGTGGGCTTTTTATTTTTGCATTATGTTTCTATTTATTGACATTTGTCATTTTGTATCTATTTATAGCCATCCATGTTGTGGATGTGTTTTTCATATGGAATTACATCATAAAATGTAGACTTCAAGAAAAAGTTAATCATAACCCTTGAAGAAAACAGCTAAATACATTTTTCATATTGCTTATCTGTCGACACATTTGGCAATGTAAGCTGACCTGCAGTACATTGACTTAAACACTCTCTATGTTACATTAACATCACTTGGAATTCATTAATTGTAAGAGTAAACACTTTTCCCTAAA